CCAAAACCCTCCCCCGATCAATCTTGTCAAAACCACCCCCTCCTCTCAATTTGTCTGTTTTTGGAAATAGATAGCACAAAGCTGTGTAAAAACAGCGTTTATATAAAAGCACATGTACCATGTGTACACCTTTTTCTAGACTCGCGCCTCACATTGGATTTGCGTCACGCTACGAGTACTAGTTTTACAATTATCATTATTGGATTGCACGTGGTGTACACACCTTTTTATCAGTAGGAATTGATTCATTGTGTGTTTTAATTGGATTATATGTAATGAAGTTGACAGTACCTATGACAGGCGGTAGGTACAAGTTTAGGTATAGAATGGGGTAAAATAAACTGAAATGCAAATGGTTAGGTTATAGTTTAAAAATGGTCAAAGATCATGGGATGCCACATGCTAGTTATACATTGAAGCTAGTCCTTGGGGGGTCATTCCCATTTTTTTATATGGAAACAATCAAAAAGCTTTAAATAAAATCGGAAACCCCAAAGCTGTTTTTGTATTATGACACATTAAATGGTATAAGGGGTCATGACGCCTCCCACCCCCACCCACGCCCAGAGGTCTCCCTGGCCACCCCCTGTCCCTGACACGACAAATGATCATGAAACTCAAAAAAGAAATTAAAAAATTTTCCCATTGACCATACATAATTTTGTTCTTGTGTCATTATGTAACTATGGTATAAATTAAGTTAATGAACCCCTGGAGGTCATCCTTTACCGCTTTGAACTGGAATTGCTCACAATATGTTTGTTTGTTTGTTTGTTGTTTAACGTCCCTCTCGAGAATTTTTCACTCATATGGAGACGCCACCACTTGCCGGTGGAGAGCTGCAAATTTTGTCTTATACTCGGCACTTACGGCCATTGAGCAGTGAAGGATCTTTTTCGTGTCTGCACCTACTGCGACACGGGACCTCGGTTAATACGGTCTCATCCGAAGGACCGGTCTCCACGTCCCACAGTGGGATTCGAACCCACAACGTAAGGATCAACTCCTTACTCCGCGACTCTAGAGCAGACGCTCTAACCACTGCGCCACGCTGGCGATGCTCACAATATGACCTGCATCAAATTCAAAAGTCAATCATTGATAAGATTGTATGACTTTTCATCCATGATTTGGATCAACCCATCCTCCTAGAATTAGGAATGAAAAATCATTCAGAAATGCATCATTAAACTATATCTCCCAATTTTTTATGTCAAAACAAAAATTATAGGTTTGCATACATGTATGAACAAATTGAGGTGTTGGGAATGGGGAAAAGGGGAAGGAGTTATCACTAGACATGTAAAGTTAGCTACTAATAAGTGGCTACTAGTAACTGGCTACGACAAGTAGGTAAAATTAGCTACTAGAAACTGGTTACTAGTAACTGGCTACGACAGGTAAGTAAAGTTAGCTACTAGTAACTGGCTACTAGTAACTGACTTAAAATGTGAATGAAGCTAGCTACTAGTAACTGGCTACGACATGTGAGTAAAGTTAGCGACTAGTTGTTCGTTACTAGAAACTAAATTAAAATGTGAGTTAAGGTACGTAGGTATTAGTGACTGGCTACATTACATTATAAATTTTAATTAAAAGAAAAAATGGTGTATTTAATGTATTTTTTCAATTTTCTTTGAATAACAATCTCGTATTTTTGTTTCGCTAGTCAAAATATCTTGTATTAAAATATTTTTTTTCATTTAATCTACTTGCAGATCCATATTTAGTTTCGTATGCATTTTGAATTAGTAATATGATTATGTGTTGAGAAAGTGCTTTCGAAAAAAAAAAAGCACAATATGTAATATACTCAGTAGTTTGATAGTCGCACCAAAGACCGATGGTCTGCGCCAAAGTCCGTTGGGTTTGTTGCAAACACTGACATCAAAGTCGGATTGCCCGCCTTCTAAAGACACAGCACGCCTAAGTCATGGTGACAAAATGATTAATATTTGTAATGTCACATTACGGCGACGTTGCTCGTGATTCAAAATAAAAATACCAGCAGAAGGCTCTTCGGACGGAAGTTGTGTTTTCGAAATAAAAAAAGAAACAGCACACTAACGGTTTTTTCTAAGATATGACCAATTCAAAAAACATACGCAACGATAGTATTAAACTGCAAGTAGATTAAAAATAGCATATTTTAATATCAAATATTTTGACTATCGAAACAAAAACTACGAGGTTGTTATTCAAAAAAATTAAAAATACATTCAATACATTTTTTTCTTTAAATTAATATTTGAAATGTACCCAGTCACTTATACCTACGTACCTTTACTCGCATTTTATGTCAGTTTCTAGTAAAAAGCTACTAGTAGCTAGCTTTACCCACATGTCGTAGCCAGTTATTAGTAGCTAGCTTTATTCACATTTTTTAAGTCAGTTAATAGAAACCAGATACTAGTAGCTAACTTTATTCACTTATCGTATCCAGTTACATGTACTAGTAGCTAACTTTACCCACTTGTTGTAGCCAGTTACCTGTAGCTAATTTTACATATCTATTATCTCTGCATGTCTTAATTGTTGAAACTCCTAAAATTTGTGAATATTAACCCCACTTCTGACTTGTCATCATTATTTACTCTTCTCACATACATGTTCATGTTTATAAGTCAATAGATACAGACTTTTGGTCATATTCCTAGTTCTTCCAGAAATCATCAGGAATGATGATATAAATATTTTAAGAATGATTAAGAGTTGAACAAGTCTTGCATCTTAAAATTGATAAAGCTCTGTGGTTGAATTAGCTATGCTCGATTTTACTACTAAAAACACATTGATTAGGTACTGACATGGCTAAAAGTCATTCTATAGTAACTTGGTATATATTTTCAGCTTTGGACTATTCTGAAAACAATGCATGAAAAAAAGGTGACCATACGTAGTTTTTGGGTTTGCATAAGGCTGGGGTATTCTCTCTCTCTCTCTCTCTCTCTCTCTCTCTCTCTCTCTCTCTCTCTCCTTTGTTTCTCTCTTTCTGACATCTACTTGGGCCAAAAATTAAGAGGGAATATTATAAGAAAAGGGGCGTTGTTTAATTGATTAACTTTTTAAGGATTACTGTGTAATTCATACTTCAGCTAGAGTGATATCCATCCCAGAAATGTAAAAAAAAAAAGTATACCCACAATCATGTCTTTGATCTACATCTAATTACAAAAGGACACAGCCAGAAGTCTTTTCCATGTTTTGTTACAAATGTCACGTGGAACTGCTATTACTCAAGAACATGTAAGTACTTCACTTAAATCCCTTAGAAAATACACGATTGTCTTCAGAGTATGCAAAAACGAATTAATTATGTTTAATAATTTGAAAACAACTCGCTGAACCCTCACCTGATTTGATAAGACAGGTAAACATACCCCTCAGGGTTTAATTATCATACATGAGCCTGTACAAAATTAAACCAGTCAGGATTAAATCATCATTTTCCTAGTTAAAATAACAAGAAACACACTAGTAGTGTGATGAAATATTTAGAAACATAATCTCGTGTAAAACATTTCTCATGTAAAACAATAAATGAGTAAACACGTTTGACAAAAAAGCTGGGGCCCGTTTCACAAAACCTACTTAGGACTAAGTTTTATCTTAGGAAAGAACTTTTTCACTAATCTATTGATATCTTATGAAATTCCTAAGTTGTGTCTTAACTTTAGGAGAGGTAAATCGATGTCTTAAGAACAGATTAAATATGGCGGCTACTTATGTTATTATAAATCATAGGAATCTCTTTCGACGAGAAAGAATATTTCGAGACAGAAATGATCCAATGGATTATATGGATGATCATGAGATTATCTCAAAGTTTAGACTCCCTCGCCATTTGATTCAAGATATCTCTGTGGGGAGATCGAAAACGATATCAGAAGGCCTACAAGATCACACTCACTTCCACCTTCCCTCCAGGTCATGGTTGCTTTACGGTTTTTAGCCACATGGAGTTTCCAAACGGTTACTGCTGACTTGCATAGTATAAGTAAAGCAAGCATATCAAGAATTGTTAGGGATGTGTCTGAATCCTTAGTAAAAACAGTCCAAGATATATAAAAATGCCTACTGATGAGACTGCAATTACAAATACTATGTTCCATTTCTCAAGAACAAGTGGATTTCCAAATGTTATTGGTGCGATAGACGGAACACATGTTGGAATTAAGTCTCCAAGTTTTGAAGAAAATGTCTTCGTGAACAGGAAAAATTGTCATTCAATTAGCACCATGGCTGTGTGTGATGCCAATTTAAAGTTTCTCAATGTTGTAGCAAAATGGCCAGGGTCATCACATGACTCATTTGTTTGGAACAATTCTAAACTTTGTCAGGTTTTAGAAAACAAGATAATATCAAGAGGGTGACTTTTAGGTGACAGTGGGTATCCACTTAATCCATATTTAGTCACACCTGTTCTAAACCCAACCACCGCTAAAGAAAATGCCTACAATAATCCTCATATGAAAACAAGAAACGTCATTGAAAGATGTTTTGGTGTATGGAAAATGCGATTTCGTTGTGTGGACACAATAGGCGGTACACTTCAGTTCTCATCTAAAAGAACCTGCAATATTATAGTTGCAACTGCAGTTCTGCATAATATATGCATTGACAATAAAGTTCCAGACCCAGTTGGAAGGGCCGTTATTAATGACGGAAACGACAATGTGGATCGTGGGACATTGAATGACGGAACAGAAGTTAGAAGACAATTTATTGACGCAAGATTTTAAGCAACAATTTCTTCTATTCTTATATGTACATCAACTCATATAGAGTAACCTGTGACAAGTATTGCTTGTAAATGTGCAAATTTTATCAATAAGAATAAAAAGATGAAAAATAAATATTTATTGTTGAGAAGTGATAGTGGCATTGGAAATAATGCCCAGCTGACAGAATTTTATGCTGTGTTTCTCCTGTTCTAGCTGTAATCTTGTCCTTTCTGTAGAAGCCTTTGTTCCTCGACTTCTAGTCTTTTCATTTCCACATCAAGTCTCTTTTTTTCTATTTCCAGTCTTTTCAACATCAATTAAATCCAGCGAAGGTGTTTTAACGTCTACCTTACATTTCTTTGCTGTTGGTAAATGAACAAGAATTATATATACATATAAATCCTCACAAGTTAGTACATGTACAATGAAATGACGTTAAAATATAATTTTTAAATTTTAATATTTGAAACAAAGAGAGTTCATTAAAAAAATAAAATAAAATAAAATAATTATCAAATCATGTACTAGCATTCAGTAATACAACATACGTATGTAATTTCTTTTTAGAATGCCTCTTCCCTCCTTTCAGAATAGAAGACGAAAACATATTTACCGCCCTCTGTAGAAGTCTGTCTGTTTGAAGTTGTAGATCTACATGTAGCTATAGTATCCGTTGATCCTTCAAGTGACTGGTCAGCCGCTGGGATGATTAGTGCCCCTTTTCCTGCCATACCATAAGACACCTCTAGAAATTAATCACATATAAAATAAAATTAAAATTCTAAGGAAAGGTTGGCATTTTTCAAATAAATCTATGCATAAATCCTTTATACAAGTTTATAAATAAAATATCTGTATATTTAAATTGAATCTAATTAATCTATTGACTGCTTGTTTACTTAAAAAGAACAATTAAACTTCTGTTTTTGGTATTATTATTGCAACAATTGTTTAAACTTGTATAAAGGATTTATGCATAGATTTATTTGAAAAATGCCAACCTTTCCTTAGAATTTTAATTTTATTTTATATGTGATTAATTTCTAGAGGTGTCTAATGGTATGGCTTTAAATTATCTTATTGTAAATTTAGTAGAAACCACTTTTATCCAGCATTACCTTCAAGAGTGTCAATGCCCCCGTCTACTCCAGATATTGCAGTTTCTCCAATAATGGACTGTATTTTGTCCTCCACAGGGGTTACGCTACAATCCGCAGGCAATTGACCGCAACCAGTCCTCACTTGCTCCTGCTTTAATTTGGAAATTTTTTTCTTTGTCTCACTACAGAGAACACTCCATTTCTTTTTCAGTTTATCTGCTGTACGTAAATGGGATGTATTTACGGCATTCACTTTTTCACAGATTAGGTCCCATTCTCCCTTTTTTGCCTGGTTGGTCACAGATGAATTCTGTCGAGAGAATATCACGTCCTTCCGTTTCTCCACTTCTTCAGTCAACATAGAAATTTCTGCAGTAGTAAAATTTGGGTTCCTCTTTGGTCGAGACATTCTGATTTTGTGGGCGGGAAAGCATGTATACATCTAAGCACGGACTATTTACATGGACTAGGCAATGCAATGCACTCATTCATGACTAAATGAAAGACACTTTAACTGCTGACTAGAGTGTTCGATTTAAGTTGCCGAAACCAAAGACCCAAATTTTTTGTTTCACAGCAATGTCTAATTAAATGAATTGTTTTTAATAGTCAATAACTGTTTTTTAATACTTCTCCCCCATCGTTTCCTCTACCCAACAACGTAGATACATGTATAATAATTGTGTACGAGTTGGAGGTACATATCACTTTACGTGCATGAAATGTACGATTGATCGTTGATACTATGTGACCTTTCTGTGCACGTACATGTTTATTTAACATACATGTTGTAACAATAACCTTAATTAAGAAAAATAAATCTCATATCTCAAAGAGACTGCCTATTAATTTCTGCATACGAATTAATTTTTACCTCGCAGTTTTTTTTTTGTGAAAAAAGGGGTGGGGGTGAATCCCATTGGCTCGTAAAGGTTATATATAAATGGTTTAAGATATGTCTCAGGAAAAAAAATAACACTTAGGCATATCATAACTTGTACCTTAAGAAATATCTTAGGAAATCTTTGTGAAACGGGCCCCTGGTGTTTTCTACATGTAGACAAACTACCAATAAAGTTAAGGGAAGTTTACTAAAAAAGGAAACTGTAAAAAGGACGTTCAATTAAGCATTAAATCCTTAGTTTTGGATGTCGTCGGTCCTATAACAGCACCTGGCGTGCAGCAAATTATCATACCGCGCTAACACGCGGTTTAATTTGTCGGCACGGACAATATTATAGGACTCTTATAGGACCGACGACATCCAAAAAAAAAATTCAATGCTTATATTTACATTCTCATATTTTCTTTCTTCATAATTGTTAATTTCTTCGATCTCCTTTTTATTAATTTAGTGCATTTCAGAACTGGTGTGCTTAAAAGACGTTAGAGCCGTTATAACGTGGAAAGTTAAATAACGCAAATGAATATTGCCAGGGGAAATGAAATGACAAATTGATTTTAAACATACAACTGTTAAATTTTTATAATACTTTTATAGGGAAATTGTTTCTAATAAAATTGAGCCAAAACGTATACATTTCATTGTTCCTAGAGTATTGAAAATGCGTATAGTTCCTAATGTTTATTCTACCACGCAGTGACAAGGTTTCATGCTATTGTATTACAGCAAAGTTGGATATAAGAATGGGTAAGTGTTTCTTTGGGGTCCAAAGTGGGGAATTTTTTAAAGTTAGATAAATAACTCGATAGTGTTGAATAGTTTAGAGAAAACATTCTGTTTTGTGTAAACTATTCAACACCATCTCATTATTTATCTATCATATTATAGTCTGATAATGTGTACTAATATTTTACTGAAACAGTACCATGGGTTTTTAACTTTGGCACTAAGTAAAAAAGTGTAGCAGGGCAGCCACGTTAAACAGCCCATTAAGAAACCTTCTCTCTCTCTCTCTCTCTCTCTCTCTCTCTCTCTCTCTCTCTCATATTATCCTTATTACATTACGGTATTATATTTGAATATTCTCTTTAATATGTGTTTTTGTTGAGATATTTAACGAATCTTAATGGCTCCCGCGATCCTTAAGGAGGTACGCACCTGAGAGTATTGTAACGTCAGTTTCTCGTGAAGTATATTTCTAATATCTATTGTGATAAAGAGTAAAAATAGTAAAGGTTGACACGTGCTTTGTTTCTTAGTGAAAGCCAGTCAAAATTTAACATTTTGCACTCAGGAAAAATTGATTTTTATATCTTGATTGATTTAAATTACTGTTGTTAAAATATATTATAAACATGATTATACGTTTTATGTCAATAAATTCTCAAGGATAGTACATGTATTATAAAATTTGGTAAGAAAAAAATATGAATCCTGACCGTTTTGGTCTTAAGGTAGGAAAATATAATATGAATAAAGTATGTATCTAAAATTTGGTGAAAGAGTTATGTCATTTTAAAACTTTATGCATGAATGTTATTGCAATATCTTCTGCTTTGTATATGAATAACCCCAAAATGTGGGGTCACGTTTTTTTTTTAAAGTTATTAAGATTGTAAATAAGAATTAAATGAAAATATTGAATTTATTTTCAAGAGTTTTGTGATTGTAAGTCTTGCGTTAATTAAAAAAAAATCGAACGGCTTACTTTCAAATTCCATATATTAGATTTATGTCTGTACTGTTTGTCTGATTTCTGAAAAAAATAGTTGTACTTAAGGGTTACTTAATTAAGGAAATGTTTAAAACGTACTCTAAGATAAATTTTTATGCAAATTTTTATGCATGCCTTCTTTGAAATCCTTTCTTTCGCAAGGAAAGATAGTTCCCAAGAAAACTCCTTAAAATGCATTTGACTCTCTGTCTTTTACTCACATTGTATTAGGTTGTATATATTCAATATTTTATGAATATAACAATTAATTTTAAACACTCATTTTGATAGAAATTAATTCTCTCTCTTTGGAACCCAAATGCTTAGGAGAGTACTTCCAATAAAAAAAAAAGTAACCCCCCAATGTCCATTCTCTGATGAACGGCATCGTTATATGAGACCATAAAATCTTCATTTTTATTACAATGAAACATAAATAGTTTGTATTAAGCAAAACCAAATTTTGATGTAAAAATAAAATAAATAACGATTTTTTTTTTATTCTTTTTGTTTCCATAACTTTTACGATCAGCATCGTTATGACTTTATGAAACTGAACGAATAAATTATTAAGTCATAATTGCAATGAAATAAAAAATACTCTTTATTACATCATTCACAAACTGGTCAAATTTGACCGTAAAAAGATCCATGTTTGTAGTTAGGTATTTATTAAATACAGTACACGTTTTAGCTTCTGTTATTTACACCATTTTTATTTTTCTAAATGACCCATGAGAATAGGGAGTAAACAATGTCAGTATGTCACATATTGATCACTGTTTGTTATCTATACAATTTACATATTGCATAACAACATTAAGAATTGCAAAACCGATCTCCAATGTATTTTAAAACAAAAACGAAGACTTATAAAATACATTTTCCCCATAATTAAAATTTTCTAGGGACATATCATGGTAGTTGTTATGACACAGTGCACAATCTCGCATTCTCTTTCAGTTGGGACTTATTTTGAATTTTGAGTCACAAGAAAAACAAAATATAGTATTTGTCAGGCTATTTCTTTGCTTCCATATTAGGTGCAATCATGGTTAGAAGACTTTCATTACTATGCTTTCTTGTCCTAGTGAGGATGGTCACTCTTTCTTCTGGTCATTGGATGAATCAAAGTGGAGAAAACCACAGGCAATGAGGTACGTAATTTTATATATTTTTTATCAAATGTAAATTGCTTTTGTTGTTCCTGAAAATTTATTACACAAATATCAAGAAAAAAATAATATTTTATTATTATTGTAGATTCGTAAATATACGCGAGGAATTAATTATCCCGTAATTACGCAAGAAGAACCGGGAATGCTAGTTCAGATGTGCATCTCTCTCTCTCTCTCTCTCTCTCTCTCTCTCTCTCTCTCCAATTAGAACACTAAAGAACATGCAATGAAACAGAAATATCTTGTATCGTGTAGTCATGGGAATGGTTCATCTCTCTCTCTCTCTCTCTCTCTCTCTCTCTCTCTCTCTCTCTCTCTGAATTAGTATCATTGAACGGAAAAGCTTTTTTGAATAATAAATATCTAGCAACCTGCATAGCTCTCATAGAGAAAAACCTGAAAGTATAGACTAGATATTGCTTAGTTTGCACAAGTCGTTTTAAATTTTTGCTATTCTACAGAACGTTCAATACAAAGAAAATGGAACAGGAAATTCATAGAAATATTTGACATGTTCGTAGCATTTAAACCTGACTCAAAAATGCAGATTAAACTTCATTTAATCGATTAGTTTCTTAATAGAATGAAGATGACCAGCCGCTGCATTCTTTTCAGCTCAAAGGTTCAGAGCACAATGACAAATTTGCATCGCCTTACCTCTCCTTTAGCTTTTGACTTGCTAAAATTGTGTGTAAATGTATAATATATTATATAAAGTTAAAATAAAACAAATTGTAATGTACATGTATATTTTTTTCTTTTACATACTGAAGATATTGTACAGAAAACAGACTCATCTTAATTGGTTTTGTTTTTGAAAGAATTAGTGAAATTCCGGGTGGTCTGGCTGTCGATACATAATATAACATTAACATCATTGAACTATCAAGTTAATGATGTTTGGACAATATCATTTTATTACAAATTTATAATTCTGAACGTTCGGCTCATTTTAACATCGATAATGACATATAAAACAAAGATATTCTGTAACATATCCCTTATTTCTCAAGGGACGTTTCAAAACACATGTTGCTAGGGAAAATAAATCCCCAGTTTTAAGACACAGTGCACCAGATTGCTATCGTACTTCAAGGGGGCTGATCTTGTAAACGGACAAAATGAATTTTTCTTCACATTAGAAAGAAAAAAGTACTGTTGGGCTTTTTTTTTTCTTTGATGTTAACTGTAACCATGGATAACGGAATTTATTTAGTGTGTCTCCATGTTCTAGTTAAGATGACATATGCTACTTTCGGTAGCTGGATGAATCAAAGTGATCAAACAACAAACAACGAGGTAAGTAGTTGTAAATATATTTTATTGAATGTATTACTTTTTTGTCCTGAAATTCATTAAAAAACAAAGAAAAATAATTTTTTATGTTTATTTATTTTTAAATAATATTGCTTAATACTTAAATATATTATGCATCATAGGGATTCGAATTGATAACAAAAGATATATTGATAGTTGTTTGATTTATTCAGCTTAAATATGCAACAAAGATTAATCCAAATAACAATTAAGGTTTAGCATCATCTCATTTAACTATTTTTTGGTATTATAATTAATATCGAACGTAAATTACGTTTCATTCTATGTATTTGATA